AGGCTCACTACCAAGTCTTCTTTGAACTTCAGTTTTTTCTACTGGATAGTCTTAGGTTTCATCTAACTCTTCCCGTTTATTTCATCTTCTTACTGGTTCTTGCTCCTCTTTCCAAAATGCAGAAAATTATCCAAGATTTCTTTTCTTTCTCCTTTTTACAGTTTTATTGGAACATAATCCACATATCAAACAATAGTTCAATCTCCCAGATTTCACACATTCTCCTTGATTTTTATCTGTATTATCAAGGGTATCTTACATTTCTGGGTCTGACTCAGCAGTTTTGCTGATCTCTATCTGCAGCCCCGATGTCTCAACTTTAGTCCCACATTTCAGAGAGTCTGCTGTACTTTTCCATTCAACTGTCACCTCAGATGGATTCTTTGGAACTTTTTTGGGAGGTGGGGTGGGACACTACAACAAATCTGGCCCTCCAATTTTAATTTTAATGTTATAAAAATCAAGGAAAGGCAGAGAAGCAACTGTTCAGGACTGAAGAGACAGGACGTTCACGTGTTAATACTGTACGCTTGATTGCATCCCGTATCAGAACAACAACATTGCCATAAAAGATATTAGGAAATTTGCAAAATAGAAAGTTGTACAACCATGCTAATCTTCTCTGTATCGTTCCAATTTTAGTACACGTGCTGCTGAAGTGAGCAGGACTCTTTGAAATTTAACTCTTTATACTCTCCTGGAAAATTAACTTATTCTGAATTCCTTATTTCTGTTAATGGCACCTCCCTTTAGTACGCTATAGCTTCTGTCCCATTTTCCATAACATATTTGGCTGAACTTTTCCTCAAAATGTTTATGTGTATGTTTGTTTTTCTCCATTCTCCTAGCCAGCACCCTAGCATATCACTGTAAATAACACAACTTTATGTCTAAAATCCTACAGCAAAGGGTTCATAGCTCTGTGCATGGAGGATGAATTCCTCATACTGGCTGTGGTGGTCACCTAATCTGATGTCAGTTTAAGGATTAAGAGTGTAGGGGTGGAGTCTAGGCTGTCAATCTGGAGATAGCCAATGAGACTTCTGTGGGCATGGCCTTCTCCTGAGAATTCTGGGAAATCTGGTACTTCCTCCTTGGAGGCAGAAGATACCTCTCTCTCTCTCTCTGCTACTCCCTGGGAGGCACTGCAGAAGACAAGCCACATGGACGCAACCAGACCTTGGAAGCTGGAGAAGCCAGAGAGAGACCTCTGCCAGTCCGGAGATGCTTAAAATGCTACTGGGCCCAAAGACTTCCTACCCACTGGCTTGTGATTGTCCTGCATTTGGCTTCATTGCATGTGTTTCATGAGTCTAAAGAGGACTTTATAGATTGGTATCAGACATATGGGCTAATATCAGACTTATGGCCTTGGACTGGACTGGGATGTTTTCTCAATGTTCAATTCCTCTTGTATTCTAAACCTTCCCTTATATACACATGCGTGTTTATGAATTTGTTTCTCTCGTCTACCCAGACTAACACACTGGCACTCAGGATTTTCCTGAATTTGGACTTTGAGGAGGTGGGGATGTAAGGTCTGATTATATTCTTTATTAGTAATCCTACATTAAATCAGATGAGTCCTTCTGGTAGATTTTGAGAAAGAGTTCTAAATACTAACTATTTTATTCAAATGCCATTAATTTTTCCAAGGAAGTTAACTGCCATGTATATCACTATTGCTCCCCCAGCCCCTCCCCCGCCAAATTCGAGTCCATGGTGTAAGCTCTTCCTTTTGTTGGGAGCACTTCTGAAAACTGTGTCTGCTGTGTTACTATGGACTTTTTCTCATGCTGTGACTTCTCTGCTATTAACTTGATTTCTACTAAAAGCAACCTGGGAGAACAGAATAGAACTGCTCCCGTGGTTTTCTAAGGCTGTAAATCTTTCCGAGGGCAGAAAGCCTGCCTTTCTTCTGTGGAGTGGCTGGTGGTTTCGAACAGCTGACCTTGAGGTTAGCAGCCCAATGTGTAACCCAACATGCCACCAGGGCTCCTTTGCAGTGACATAAAGTAACCATCAAATAAACTAAAATCAAGACCACCGAGTACAATACTATGGTTCTCAATTCAGAAGTTCGTTGAGGCATTACTTTGTATGCTTTGGAGGGCAGTCAGAGATTGCGAGCTGTTCTAGGCACACCTCTTAAAATACAAACCCGTATCATCTACAGAACATTAGTGAGACATCCTTTTCTAGCTACCATACAAGCACTTATGACCCTCCATTCCAAATTAGCAGTGTTCTTAAGTACAATTAGTTGTAACGTGCTTTTAATTCTTGGTTTCTTATGTTCACCAAATTTTAAAAACAAGATAAGCTAAGCGCACACTACTGGACTCACAACTGTGTAAGTGGGAGGGCACGGCAGAAGATGCTGTCTAGTGCCCTTTCTGTGTCTCGCCCTTATTTATAAGACAATGGCTCTTCACTGTGGAAGGAGACCCTCAACATACCAGCTTTGAGAAGTAGAGGCATCATTGTTACTCTCTATTTTCTCAGGACTTTTAGTATTATCTTTAGTGAAATCTTTAGTGAAGCCAATTCCCCCCACCACCCCCCCTACCCCCAAATTTTCCTTAGTCGTGCAGTGAATGAAGCCTTTCAATATCATCTTAGGACAACATTTTACCTGTTTCAGATCACTAGCAGCCATCAAGGAGCTCTGGTGTCATAGTGGGTTATGTGCTGGGCTGCTAACCAGAGCAGTTGGGCTGCTAACCACCAGCCTCCAAGGACGAAAGATGAAGCTTCTCCTCCCGTGAACAGTTAGTCTTGGAAACCCACCGGGCAGTTCTAAGCTGGCCTACAGGGTTGCTAGGAGTCAGAATCGACTCGAAGGCAATGAGTTTTGAGCTGCAGCCATCACAGAGAAAGCTTCCAAAGGGAACTGGATGAAAGGCTATGTCTTGGTTACACTTTAACTATAGGAGCTATAACCAAAAGAAAGGCTTAAGACAAATGGACCCTACATTAGATAAGAAATTTTCAAGGTCAAGTTTTCTTTGTTTAAAGCAGTGGTTCTCAACCTGTGAGTCACGACTCCCTGGGGTGTTGCCTAAGACCATGGGAAAACACATATTTCCGATGGTCTTAGGAACCGAGCCATTGCTCCTCTATCTGTCTCCAGGGGAGTCTGCCCACATGCAGATACGCCCACCTACGAGTGCCCAGCGTGAAGACTGTTACTCATGCTACACCATGCTTCAAGACAAAATTTCATTGATCTGTCATTAGAAATAAGTATTTCACAATAATTACATATTGTGTTTGTGATTAATCACTATGCTTTAGTTATGTTCAATTGTAACAATGAAAATACATCCTGCATACTAGATATTTACATTACAATTCATAATAGTAGCAAAATTACAGTTATGAAGTAGCAACGAAAGTAATTTTATGGTTAGGGGTCACCACAGCATGAGGAACTATTTCTAAGATTGGTCCCAAAACCCAGGACCTGGAAAGCACAAAAGAATAGGCTTCTTTTGTTCCTTTTTGTGTCTGGACTGTACATTCCCCTTCCTGGAATAAGATGTTAAGAAAACTATTTGGAGAGGAAATCCAAGGTGGGGTGGGGTGGGGGTGGGGGTGTCTGAACAACAGCAAACTAGCTAAGAGGAGGTCCCAAGAGGCAGATATAAGGGGAAAGTGGCAGTGGGGCAGGAGGAAGGTAAAAGGAAACAGAGGAAGGACCTAGGAAGCAAAGCGATGGATAGAAGTATAAACTTAGCGGTGTATATAGGTAAATACATTAATCCACAAAAATAGAGGTATTGGCCCATGTATATATATTTATACAGCAATACACTGAGGTAGGGGATGGACTATGGGCCTCTGCTCATACCCTCCCTCAATTCAAGAACACTTTGTTCTAACCAATCAGCAGTCTGAGATGTTCACCCTCCCAACACAATCGTTGAAGACAAAACAGGTGCATAAGCAAATGTGTTGAAGAGGGTGGATGGTGCCCGGCTATTAAAAGATATAGTGTCTTAAAGGCTTGAAGTTACACAAACCACCATTGAGCAGAGAAACGGTAAGTCCACAGGGATCGCTGGTGCAATCATGAGGAGTCATAGGGACCGGGTAATAGGCATCAGCAGACACATAACAAACAAAAACATATTGTTGAGAACATGAGGGACTGGAGCAGAGATCTAACGCCCACCTGTAGACAATGGAACAATCTCCCCACAGGGGTGCCACAGGGAGGGGATGAGTCACCAGGGTGCAGTAGAGCATAGATGAAACACACTATACTCCTCTGGTTCCTTGAGGCTTCCTCACTCACCACCACCATGACCCCAGTGCTGCTTCTCACTTCAGACTAGACCGGAACATGTTCACAGGTATAGAAAGGGATGGGAGCTCATGACACACAGAATCCAGGAGTGGGAGTGGCGATGCCAGAAGGGTTGGGGGAAGTGGGGGTGAGGAAGGGAGAAAGGGAGAACTGATCACAATGATCGACACATAACCATACACCCCTCTACGGGGGGTGGGGTGGGGTGGGGTGGGGGGTGGGGGAGTGGGGGGTGAGAGAACAACAGAAAACATGGGGGAAGGGAGACAGCGGTCAGTGTGAGAGATGAAAATAGTAACAATGTACAATCTATGGGTGGGGAGGAGGGAAGAGGAAAAAAAAAAAGCTGGTACCAAGGGCTCAATAGAAAGTAAATGTCTAGAAGAGAATGAGGGCAACATATGTGCAAACATGCCTGATTCAACTGGACCCGGGCAGTATTTCATTCGGTTGTGCATCAGGCCGCTATGGGTCAGAACCGACTCGGTGGTACCTAACACAGTTAAATCCACTTACACTCCTGGACAGTGCGATGCACAGCAACCACACACTTTAGGAAATATATTCTTGATGAGAAAAGGGTAAGTCTCATTTGAGAACTAAAGGAGGGGGCTAGCTGATAAGAGTTTGAGGGAAGAGATTAAAAAGAAGCACCACGGCCTGGCTGTAAAGCAGTGGGTGTCCTCACCTTTTTGGATCTCCAGCAACGGCAGTACACAGCTTTATCTCCCAAGTCCTCCATGTCGAAAGCGTGTACCACCTTGGGGTTGTCTTTCTGGATGTGAAGATTTACCATGGCTTTGTGGCGATGGTCTTTGACATAAAATCTCTTGTAAGCTAGATAGCCAATTGCAGCCGTCCCAGCAGCGATGGTCACTGCTGCGATCCATTCAACTACAGTGGGGGAGAAAAAGAGGAATGGTCAAAACCCAAACAAGCCCTGATCATCAGCTAACAGGAATGTTCAAAAACTTCCGTTTTTGAGGAGGAAGTGCCCCCAGTGGTCAAAGGGTTTCCAACAGTCAACACAGTGACCAGAACACACGAGTGCAACATTCCCCAGCACTGACTGAGGCAACTGTTTTGTTTCGTTTTTATTGAGTGAAGTTAAGATAGAAGAGAGAAACAAAATTATTCTCTACATGAAGAGGAAAAACAAGGCTTGATAATCTTTTAAACGCATTGAAGACAAAAATACCATGTGTACCTGTGGGTAATCCTTGCTTAAAAAAAAAAAAAATTAGCAAATCAAAAACCTCCCAAACCCTGAAATAACAACAACTGCAGCAATAACAAAATTCAGATTACAAGCATGGTGAAAAACAAAACAAAAAACAGGAGGCAATTGCATTAACCAAATGACTCATTGCAGTTCATTTAAAGACCAACAGCCTTAATTTTAAAATATTTCAATTTACCACAACTCAATGGCAACTACTGCATAAGGCATTACCCGAAACAGAATTAGCATCTGACCCCAGACTAAAAGAACAAATTAAACTAACCACAGACTTGAAATATATCTAGCAGGATTCTGGGTTTCAGAGTCATGGGAAAAATTTTTTTAAGTTCAAAGTGCTTTCTATTATTTTTTTTCCAGATTTTATGGAAAGGAATTTAATAATGAATGCTCATTTTGGCTTAGTTTTCAAATTGTTTCTTTTCCAGGAAAATATTACAAATTAATAGTTCCAAATTTCAGTTCCTACACTTGTAGCTTTTAGAAATAAATTTAAAATCATGCCTCTAATTCACTCTGTCTCTTCTTTCAAATTTCAGGGATATTGTAACCACAGTTCTCCATAACTTTCCTTTTTTAAAAAAAACCAAAAACAACATTTTATCGGGGACTCGTACAACTCTTATCACAATGCACACATCCATCCATTGAGTCAAGCACATGTGTACATTTGTTGCCATCGTCATTCTCAAAACATTTGCTTTCTGCTTGAGCCCTTGAGATCAGCTCCTAGTGTTTTTCCCCTCCCTCCCCACTGCCTCCTCCCTCATGATCCCTTGATAATTTATAAATTATTATTATTTTTTCATATCTTATACTGCTTTCTCATTATTAAAACAAAAAATCAGAATTATTAGTTCCATATTTTGTGGAAAACATGAGTGCTATTATTAGTCAAAACTTTCCTCTAATAAAAGTTCTAAACTCTAAGTGCCCACCAGTACGTGAATATCTGAATTCCCTACAAGTACCATTTTCAATTTAATGACATTATTCTATGTAATTACTTGCTTGAGTAACAGGCCATCTAGTTAGTTTTTCTTGTAGCTTTTTAAGGAGTCCTTAGAAACCCAAACACTTAACAACTACCCCAGCTCCAAGGATTGAAGGAGTGCAGAAAGTTCGGCATAGTCTGGTTAGCCTCCGCCTCCGCCTCAGAGGAGAGTTGTCTATCCCCCGCATGGAGTGGGCTGCAGGAAAAAGTTGAACAGGGGTCAGGATAAACACACTGGACTGCTTCCCAGTACTTCCTGAGTCAGATCTTTAGTGTTTGAAATAAGTTCCCAGACTATCAAATAATGCCCTGGAGAGTTCAGGGCAAAACACAACCCAAGCCAAACATAAACTTGTCCATAATAAACAATTAACTGTAGGCCTTATTTGCACTAATGGGTCAAATTTCTTACTTCACTGAGATCAACCATAATACCTATTAGCGCCTTACATAAAATTGGGGCTCAGTCTTGTAATACCCAATCTCATCCATGGTTCCTTCTAGCTTGGTCTTCTAGTTTCTTATATAATTAATTTTCATTATATGCTTCTTTTATTTTTTATTATTATTATTTTATATATTTCTACTTAGCATGCTCCTTAAATTCTATTTTCAACCACAGCAGTATTTCTTCTACAAAGTAATTTAGTTTGTCTTCCTTCCCACAGTTCCATTCCTCCGTGTAATCCTCTAGAATAAACATTAACTCTATGTCCTTCCGAGGTCCTTCCACGTGACTGAGAAAACATCTGCAGTCATTTGACAACTGTGGCCACATGGGAGAATGTTTTGAATAACACATTTTGTGCAGAATTGTCTTGAGTTTTAGTGCTGCTTCATAGCATTACCCTGTGGTGATTCCATACGGGGCAGCATATTTGGGCTTTTAAATTAACTGGCTGCTGCTGCTGCTGCCAGGTGCCACGTTGGTTCTGACTCAGAGTAACCTATGTGCAGCAGAAAGGAACACTGCTAGGCCTGCGCTGTCCTCACAGTTCATAATCTCCTTTTTTCCTTTTTGATTATTCACCATGGAACTCCCTTCAGGAAATAGTTCCCATAATAGGAGTTATAGTAATCCATTCCTTAGCTTGGGGAACACTATTCTGAATAGCTACTATATTTATGACAAAGGAACAGAAGCCTAGCTCTGCATAGTTATATGCTCAGTGTTTGTGCAAAGTGATAGTAAAACCGAAGAGGAAAATACCCCCCCAAACTAGCATGATACCAACTACATTTGTGAAACTCCACTCTAACTTTAGATGGATCCTGAAGCTAGCATATTTCTTTTGATGGAGCTTAACCAGCTGCCCTGAAGTCACTTGGAAACATGGTGACCCTATGTATGTAAGAGTAGAACTTGCTTCCAAGAATTTTCACGGAGTGGCTTGTCAGAAGTAAATCAACTGGCCTTCTTTCAAGTTGCCCCTGCATGGATTCAAACTTCCAATCCCTCAGCAACCAGGGATTCCCTCTCTGCTTCCTACACATGGCAAAAGTCTTGAGACTCAAAGAACCACCACCTATGGGCTAGTATTATGTCCTGATCGAAAAAGAGAATCCTATATTAAACTCATGATCAGCAAAATCATTAAATAATTAAAATACTAGCTGAATACATATGGTGACTTTTCTAGTTGTTGCTGTTAAACCGTTACCTGTTTTTTTGAAAGTGAAAAAGACAAGAGTAACTGATATGGAAAGCAGGCAGCTGCACAAAGCAGCTGAAAAATGGGAGCCAGCTCTTGTCCCCCAGGGGACGAGACAGGTTCATTTCTGACCTAGGCAGATGTCATAATACCATGTGTATACTAAGAAAATAGTTTTGTGACTTGCTTGAACTGATTTTTTAGAATCCAGAGCTAGATAAATTCTTAAGAATTTTTTCTGTCTTCCTACACTTAAATTCTCTAATCTCATTATCGACAAATGTATGCATTTCCAAAAGCTTGATAAGAGATTCCTATTTTGTCATTTCATTACTGGCAAAAAGCTATGGGTGCCACTGGCCAATGGAGAAATACAAGGAAAAGGAAACTATATGAGACAGATAAAAATGATAATGGATACCGAAGTCAACAATAAATAATTGAAAAGCAGAGACAGTAAACAAGTACAAATAATAAAACCCAACCAACATTTAGTTCAACTGAACGGAGCATAAGCCTATCTAAAGCAGACAACAGTTTCAGAAGCAACAAGGGATTTTCTCCAAGTCCTACTTTGTCAAGATGTTTCATTTTTAGACATTTTTCAGAACTGAAGTCTAGAACATTTCTGAGCATTATTTTTACTTCTTCCGGTTTATTTTCACTTTCTTTGTCTATAGACATCTCAGGTACAGTTAATCTTCTAAGTAAATCCACGCCCCCCACCCCCACCCAGGCTTGTTTAACAATGCTTTTCAACTACACAAATATCATTAATAAGCCAACCTAAAGAACAAAAATACACGGCAAGTTACTATTTCTAAATAATTCCCTGTCTTACTTAACTCTAGGCCTACTAGTATATGATCTTTAATTTTCTTTGAAAAATAAACCTCTGGCTTTTCTGTATTATGGGATTTTTTTCTCACCCCGCTTCTCTTCCTTTAGCTTCTTGTCAGCCAAGAACTGCCCTCTCCGCCTACGTCAACTGCCACAGAATCAGAATGCTCCTCTCTGGAGGGGGAGGGGAACTGTGTTTAACCCAGGGTTTCAAAGTGGGTCAATCCAGTTGGACCCCCTGCTGAGAATTTGCATTTCTATCCCAGACATACTGAATCATAAGTCATATGGTAAGGAGACCCCCATGTGACATGCAGATACGTCATAAGCAACACTTGGGAAGGATTAAGAACCATTTGGGGATCTTGTTGAAACACAGATTCTGGTTCAGTGAGCCTGGTGGAAAGGCAAATTGGCAGGACGCTGTACTGGAAGGTACCTTTTCAAGGCCTTCATTGAACCCTTCCTCTCTTACATTCCTCCGATTGGTAGGCTGCACCTAATACGTATTTTGGATAAAATCTGGCCTATAAGTGTTCATTGTTGGTTAAGTAAAAAGAAATAATGATTACTCATTGAAATCTGCACCAACCACAAGGATCCTAAACCAAATGACTTGTGATAGCACTGGCCGTTTCTTAACCTACTGTATCAAAGTGTGGGATTTAAATCAACCCAAACCAAACTCCTTGCCATCGAGTGGATGCCGACACAGTGATTAATATAAACTGTCCCTGTGAGTTTCTGAGAGTGTAACTCTTGATGGGATTAAGAAGCCTCCGAGTGGTTGATGGTTTCGAACTGCTGATCTTCTGGTTAGCAGCCTAAAGTGTACTCATTACACCACCAGGGCTCTTTGGATATTAAATATTGCCTAATAATAATTAAAGAATGTAACAATTCAGACAAATATAAATATAGAGGGTAGAGTACAATGAACCCTTGTAAGAATTAACTCATGGCCAATTTTGTTTTACCGACATAGAGCCCCAGTTTCCCCATTACTAATTTACTTTGAATAACCTAGAGGAGCTATCTGCTTTATTCTCAGCATGAATTATACATTCCTTCAAACAAGACCCCCCAAATTTCTTTAAATGAGTCAATAAATTTTCCAGAACCTAAGAAGTAGTTTCCTAAATTGAAACAAAGCAAAAAGAACCAAAAAAGAATGATCAATTAATTTCAATGAAAGACACAAGGAAATGAGTTGGAGAATTAAAGGACTTAATAAAATGTAGTTTTGGTTACATGGCTTGTAGTGTTCAGGGTTTGGGATAAATCAAGCAACACGTGCACAGACAAGCTCCTGTTCTGTTACCTGAAGGTGGAGCCAAGTAAACATAAAGTGGATTAAGGAAAAGGGAAGGCAAGTAAAGCCTTTTAAAATATTTCTTTAAAAAAAAAATATGTATATACATATATATCTTTTCTTTTTTAAGAGAAGATGAACATGGACGATTTCAGGTTGAAGAAAACTCGTGTGGGCCAGGGGTGGCCACACTCCACAAACACCAGCCTTAGACACTCCATGGGACATATGTGTCCCATTATTTGTACCCGCCTCCCCCCCCCCAAAAAAAGAAAACTTCATTCACAATGCATTCCATTACCGAAAACACATACTGAATATACTCGTGTATAAGCCGAGTTCTCTCGGCACATTTTTAATGCCATTTTTGTGGTAAAAGGTGCCTCAGCTAATATTCGGGTTGGTTTTTACTCGAGTATATAAGGAAGCTTCAATAAAAAATTCAAAGCAGCAAATAATTTGGTTTCAAAATGGTTAAAGTGAGGAACTATAATAAATATATAGTTCATCTGCCAAATTAGAATCAAGGAACATCTTACCAGGATCTTTGAAAGTTATTTCAATTTACAATCACTCATCTTCATTGCCTAAATCATTGCCTTTATTTTTCTTCTGCGTACAAACCACAATTCTGCACGCAAAAACACTGTTTTGTTTATTTAGCAAACACAAATGTAGTGCTTACCATTGTGAGGGATCATTTTAAGACCTTTATAGTTGCTAATTCATTTAACTGAGAGGAGACATGATCATGTTCTTCTACTTATCACCCCCAAACTAAAAGATCCAAGTAGATTTTCAACCGTTTGGAAAATTAAGAGTAGAGCCAAACTTTATGAGATTTGAAGCTTAAATCACAAGGTGGGTTTTGTAATTGAGGAGGAAGGTGCTGGTAGAAGAGAGCTGCAGGGGCTTGGGCTCATTCTGTTGACTGCCTCAAAACCAACCTTTTGCTTTCAGGTGAAAAGTAGTTGCTCCTCATAGCAAAGCTGAGCACTTTGTCTCGGAGTTAAGAATGTACTTCAACAAGCAGTTTCTTGAAATTGGCAAACTATTGGGAAATAGTTTCATGTCCCCACAGCTAAAAATTCAAAAATCTAATCACTTGTTTTGGTTTCAGGAAGATTAGATTGCAGATTTTTATAAAAGTTTTAGGGAGTTCACCTGGTAATATTTCAGTAACATACTACACAAGTAGCATAGTGCCCATTTACACAAAATGCTCTCACATTTTAAACACATCAAACCAAAAGGAGTGTTTCGGCCCATCTCACACTTGGGCAAACAGCCTTCCTATAAAATTAAAACTATCAGTGACACAAATTACATTAATATTTAATTTTACACAGTAGCCTTGTTCTTAGCTCCCACCCCCTTTTCTACAAAAATGGAAACAAAAATCACTTTCTATTTTAAAGGCACTGAAGGAGCTAAATCTTTACGGGGACAGAGAGGCACATCTTCCCTGTCACTCCAATAGATAGTGGGTTACTTACCTTGTTTCTGGTCAGTAGACTAATGAATGTCCTAGATGTCACTAGAACAGCCTCAAGATATCTTTTGAAAAGATTCGTAAAGAAATAATATCCTATGTCCTTCACTAGTAATTACCAATATTCTCGATTAAGACTCTTCTCTACTTGGTCAATTTTGGTAAACAGGAGTGAATTATCCAGTTTATAGAATCTACTACCCAACTCCAAAAGTAGGACTCTATTTGATGGAGACCTTTACATATCTGGCACACCAGATGTTCACCAGTTACTGAATGAATCAAAGGGCAATTTCAAATTAATATCTGGACAACCCTTTAACCTTTACTCAACTACTGTTACAGGTAGCCAAACCTTGGGGTGTGGCATTTTATACCTGGGCAGAGCAATCACACATATCGTGTAACTTGGGTACAGTACTATATTAGCCAATTACCATCCAAAGGAATCATTATAAAGGACTCCACGCTAAATGACTTCAATAAAGTATCTTAGTTTTAATTGCACTTTGGGCGAAGTGATTTTTTAAACGCTCGGTAGTGGCAAAAGGGAAGGAAGGCTGAGAAAGCTGATGGCTCAACAAGCTCAATTTTCAATCCCCTACTGGATTACCGCCACCAACCGCCAGATACCGGGGGCATAATAAAAAAACTGGGAAAACCGGAAACATCGGATTGGGTTTCTAACCTTAAAAAAAAAAAAAAGGTACAAGACTGAGATTAGTCATGCATCATGAGTACAGATAATCAATGTTATGAATTCACGTTGTTTTAAACGTGAGGAGGAGGCGGCACAGCCCCCTCCGTCTTCTTTTTCCCAGGCCCTGTGTTTTAGGAACACAAACATTCCGGGGAGAAGTGCTAGCAGCAGCATTTTCAGCTTTTTGCGTTGGGCTGGTTAGAGCAGACGTGATCCTTATTAACGCAGATGCCTGCATGGTATCTCCCGACTGCTGCACGGTGACACCGCTAGCCCCATACCCTCACCCTCTTTCCATGTCTGCCCAGAACCCGAAGAGCCAAGAACCTGCCCTTCAGCATCTCAAGGTTACTGGACCGGCAAGCGCGCAGAGCATTGCAAACCACCAGCAGAGCTGAGTGCGCCGCGGGTACGCAGGCCGCCAGCCTCACCCGCTCCCAGGCCCCACTTCACCTCGTACGCCGGAATTGGATGTCAGACTCATGGCTCTGTCGTTTGCAAAGCGTGTGCACAGGATACTGAGCACTAACAGGGCTCGTGCGAATAGCAGTAATAAAGGTGCGAGAAGCGTCCTTTAGGTACAGACACAGGGGCTGCTACTGCGCAGGCGCCGCGGCGGGCCGAAAGCACGTGTGTACTAGGCCCTTGCTGGTGGTGAGCATGCGCAAAACCTCGGCCCAGGCTAAGGAAGTCTAAGTCCGGATTTTGACAGCCGCAGAAATGGGAAGAGGCCTAGAGAGGGAGCTACTGAGTTTGCGCAAACACGAGGGGCGTGGCCTGTAGGGCGGGGCTTGAGGCAAGGCCTTGGGAGTTGAAATTCCAGGCCAGGTTTTACATCTCTTCCAGATGTGTGCATTTCCAGGGGCCGAGAGGACAGGTGCCGTAATCGGATATCTGAGATTTTACTTATTTTCATGCTCAGACCGATACTTGCCAGGTCAGGCCTAGTTTTCATATGCGGTGCCATATACAAGCGACAGAGTGCATTTCCAGAACCTTCCCTAGCTTTCGGTGTGCACCCCTTGCCTCTGCCCTAATTAGATCTGGTTAGTCATCTACCTACTCAGGTCCTTGAAACGTGCACTGAGGGTTGAGTGGAAGAGAAAAACAAAGAACAAAACCAAATAAAACCCCACCGGCTCATTTAACAGCATGTTTCTTTAAAAGGAATTCGTATCATTCGCGACCCGTGCTCTTCAAATCAGTGCAGTCTTCAAACAGGGCAACACTCTGAGGAAGCGCGTGTTCTAAGCTGCCCGCTTTCACTCGAACCGCGTTTCCGTGCGAGGGGGGCGTTGGAGAGAGCTGACTGAAATAAAGGGGTGGTGTCTCCAGCCATGTGGGCACTGGTGCTGTCACCCTCGTCTCCTGAAACGTGACTCTCCTTACAGCTGGAAGTCCCGGGCGTCTAAGTCTAACGCACCGAACAGCGTGGCGAATGAATGAAGGCTCGGCAGTCACGACAGGGTAGGGCGGCGGGAAGGAGGCCCGCGGGGCCTTGACCGGCAG